CTTTTATTGCCTAACATGTAGTTGAAACAGGTCATAAGATTGATTTTAAAAAGTCTTTTGTGGTGTTGTACAAAATGTGTTAAAGGGCGTATACTAGAATTTATTGAAGCCTCAGCCAAATGAAAATCCAAACCACTTTATGTATTCAAATTAAGTTTGTTCTCAACTTAAATCTTTCTTGGTAATATCAGCATATTATTCAGCGTGATGAGGTTTCAAATCGTTTTTTTCATATTTATCTTATTATCTTTGGCTCCTCCTAACCTCCATTTGTCTAGTTGACATTTCTATTTTTATGTATAGATGTTTTGAAACAGTATACGTGTGATTAGGTTGTTTGAAATGTATTGCGCTAATATATCACATAATTCTGATAAACTGTGTCTTCTTATCACCCTATCCAAATTAAATCTTCCAGTTTATTAACACATCTCAATATATTTGATGAGGAATTTAGGCTGTAGGTGAAATTGGTGATTGAATATCTGTCATTTGTGGATTTCGAATATACATTGTTGACCTCACAGAACTACTCCATGACTAGATATTTTTTGCTGAACGTGTTCTCCATGTTGTGTGCACAATCACTCCACTGGTTCAGTCCCAACGATGAATTCCACAATAAGAACACATTTGAACATCAATTTCACATATTTCACAGTGTTGCACATCAACGATCACTATTTGGTTAGGGATTGTCCACAAACACTTGCCTCATCGTTGTGATTTCATCCCCTACAAAGTGGTCACCGTCAACTGATGATGACAAATTTTCATACCAATCAAATATTTTCATCATTGTAAATAGGTTGCGTGTTGAAATAAAAATGGTCGAACAAATGGCCAAACGAGGACTGATGAACACCTTACTCGTATTGCTTGTAATTCGACACCCCCTTAGTCTGTTTTTTGCAAAGTTGCATCCATCTTCAATACTCAACTTGTTCGTAGTTCATCTCCTCCATGAACGACTGGACTGTCGATTTTTTAGTGTTAACGATCTACCTCATTGTGTTGCGGACAACAGATCCGCATATTCTCGTCAATCACATGGAGGAATTACTTTTCTCGTAGCTACTGACTATCGCGCAACTGAATTTATCTTCATTCGATCCCTAATGTGTGCATTGTTTCATAGATGAATTCTCATTTTCCAACCAGATCCATCACTGTTGTGGGAATTAGTCCCATAAAATTATCAAGTGACATAATAAAGTGGAATTAGAATGGGAAAACATTTTCAATAAGTTAATCATCAGGCTCTGAAATTTAAACTCCATAGTTATTGCACAACTGTGATCGATGTAATGTGTTTATGTGTCAATCGTGAATCCAATAGTGAGTTTCATGTGTCTGGATTGCATGCAAAATGTATCACTTGTGAAGTTGGAAATTCACCTAAGTATGTTAAATGTGTGAAGAGTGGTGTACTGTGATCAATTTAATAATACGATATTGAATAAGAGAAATGTTTTATGTCGAAATGATTGTGTCAATGTTGGATTGGTGTGTGGCTGTGGTATGCGTCAACCTTATAGTGGGCAAAGACAACTAAGTAGGCTGCACACAGCTCTTTTGAAAGCATAGGTTCGGCATTTTGAAGTCGGTGCAGACAGCTTCAGCTATGTAAGGGAGTAGTAATATTACTCCTTCCGGCAAACTATTCGGAGCTGGATGCAAAAACAGGAATGTTTCTTCTATTTCGATGCGATATTCACTATCTGCAAAGTGAGAGCGGGAGACTGTGTCAGCAAAGTGACATGAAACTTAACAGCGTCAAACCTCCATTCAGTCAATCTTCCACGTCGACTTGTCGATATGTCACCCACCATGTCCTCCCTACAATCAGGTCTTAGGAAGAGTGTTTTCTGACTGACAGCGTCGACATTTCTCTCATTTCTCGATTCGGAGAAATAACCGTCGACGAATCAGTTTGGATAACGGTTGTTCAGTGGTGAGTTCGTTAGTTTACGTGTTCATCATTCTACACTATCGTCAGAGCATAACTCTCTAGTTTTGTGTCTGATACACTGAGCACGATTCATTGTGTAATGAAGACGTGAGAAGCCATGAGAATGAACGATGTTGATCAGTATGAGTGTATCGAGAAAATATTGCCTTGTAGATACTCGTCCACCCTTCTGGAAAGTAGGATATTCAGGAAACTATACCAATCCAATGTAAATCTCACCGAAAACAACTACCCCAATTGGACGTACTGAACGTTTCGAAACTTTAACACAGAATGATAAGCCGGTTATCCGAACATGAAATTCCACAACGAGAAAAAAATCCACATTATTCACTCCAATATTTCCACATTCACATTAGTGGAACTTCTCAAACTAGTCTACCCTTTACATTTTTCGATACAGAAGCATGAATGCGTATTGTGAGTAGATATATGAGAAGAGGAGTGGAGTAATATTCGTAGAACTGCATGACTCACCATGTGGTACACAAACTAACTAATATCTCATTCAATTTGGTCACACAATGTTCGATTGCAACTCAGTGTATCTAAGGTGATCCATTCACCATGTCAACACAAAGATGAGGGCTTCTATCCTTGTCATGGTGATGTGTGCACACTGCTAACGAGCTCCTTACTAAGCTGTAACAGATGTTCAGTGCTTCTAGATTGGTTACCGTTGTCTAACTGAAGGCAGTCAACGATCCATCCATAAACATTTCATTCCACAATAGAAGATATTTCCAATCAGTCCCATGTGGACGATGATGGCTTAGATAAAATGAAATATTCATTTTTGTTTGTCTTCTTCAAAATTATCAGGATGAGTTGACGTATGAAAATGAAGTAGTCTTGATATTTCCTATCTGTTGACAATTTTTGAGGCTTTTATGCACCAATTAATGTCGTGCATCTACGATGTGAAATATTAGTGATGTGTTTGAGCTAACATCACATCTCATTTGGAGATTGCCTTGTACGTTTACGTGAATAAAAGTAGTAGATTAGACTCTGTTTGTTGTACACAATCGAATGAGACACAACAACATATTCAACCACCTAGTTTTAACCCAAACAATACAACTTGGTATCCAAATAATATTCGCATACTCCACACTAATACATAATCACTCATTTTCTCTAATACCTCATCATATATGGAGTCTGATTTTCAAACAGTTAGTACTATTTTCAGATTCATTTGCCAATCAACTGGAGTCCAGATGGTAGATTATTTTCTTGCATCAGCTGATCTATCTTCATGGATCGCTATATCGACAGAGCATCTGTACAACGAATAAAAATGAAATCACAAAAGATTAGATATGTATGTTAAACAATAATGGGAACACTTCACAATCTTACTGCCTTCCTCAATCAGGTCTCGTACATAAAACCGGATAGCTCAACAGAGTTGGATACTGTTAACTGACTGGAACTTTATGTCGTTGTTTGATGTCACCTTCTGAAAACAGTAGAATTTTAATCGACACATCTCAAACGAAATCTGTTTGAGTCAAATGCAAAGGTTCAGTATTATTGAGTAGTATAGTGTGAAGATTAAATCTTTCACCAGTCCTGGCAGGCAATCATAGATAAACTCATGAACTGACCTGTCAGGTACAGTTGAATTGAGTGCAACGAAATCGATCATTGGAATGATCATATATACTGCCACCGACAACCAGAGTTGATTTAGAAAGTAGAGTTGATTAACCACAATCTATGTATATGGTGCCTACTATTGTCCACATTGGAATTAAGCACTACAAGAAAATCAACCTACCGAACAGCTCATCTCACACACGAATAGAAATGGAAGCACGAATGGGCATTATGAGAGCAACATTGTCACAATCGATATTCAAACGTTTCATGTTTGCTCTGACTAACTCAAGTGGAAGATTTCGTATATTTCTCATGTTCATTGAAAAGGTAGTGAGTGATTGATATGAAGAATTCATTTGCTCTTTGACTTGTCGTATGAGATTCTTCTGTTCATACGCCATTACAGACAATTCCAACTTGATCTGCAAACACTTCCACAATTCACAATCAACAATACGTGAGTGTGTATCTATTCAGGTTTAAGCTACTAACACAATGAATCAATTATGAGAATTGAGACAGTTCTGCATAACACTGGAACACGGGAATCCACCACTGAACAACGTCATCTCATTCATGTAAAAACAAATTATGAGTGAGAGAAAATGGGGTTGGTTAAAAGTGTTCAATTCACTTTTGCGGTTTCGAGTAAGATGAACGTTGAAAGTATTCAGGTGGCACTCATACTATCGAACTAAACTCTACGTGTCTCAACAATGAGGATAAACTATGTTAAGCAAATACTAATAATGAGTTTAAATATGAAAGAGAAACTGGCTTGTCTTATGGTCATCCAATGATGATTGTGCTTTGTTGTCCCTAAATTACTGACATATGACACTTTCCTGAGAGAATATAGCCTGAACAAACGAAGTATTTTTATTACTAGTATTTGGTTTACTGTATTAATTGATATTGTCATGTATGAAATATGACAATATGAAGAATGGTCTGTTGACTGCCAGAAATCCCTTATTTAAGGTCGTTACAACATCGTCCATGAGGTCAACAAGTTAAGTTTAAATAAAATTTTCTTTAACTTGTTTATTTAAAATTTGTGTGTCCAGAAATACATCACTTTTCAGTGTCATCAAAAAGAGTTTGGTCTCATTCAGTGAAGACTTAATCAACGGTTCCGATAAAACGCATGCTAACGAATTCCAACGGTGGAATTAAAATAGTGAGTAATTTGTGAACTAACTGTTTCATCGATATTTTTAACTATCACGCTCAACTATCATTAACGATTACACAAAAGACAGTTCAACAGTAGAGTGCACAAGCGTAATATGTATTGAATAATGATGCACTTAGAGAGGCACAACTCTTCCAATCCATAATCAAAAACAATATATAAATGACAAATCACACTAGTTTACATATCATCACACCGAATACAACAACACAGACAGTTGGAAAAATGAGATCGTCGCTCACACTCGTCTTCTTAGTAGCCATTGGTTACGCCACCGCCTACCAAATACCACATGAAAGTCCGAATGATTACGGTGGTGATTGCTACGGTAGTGATTGTGGTGGCGGTTATGGAGATGGTGGGTATGGTGGTGGCGGATATGGTGGTGGTGGTGGTGGTGGTGGTGGCTATGAGGGTGGCGGAAATGGCGGTGGCGGTGGTGGTGGTGGCTATGAGGGTGGCGGATATGGTGGTGGTGGCGGTGGTGGTGGCTATGAGGGTGGCGGCGGCTATGGTGGTGGTTGCAATGGTGACGATTGTGGTGGTTACGGAGGTGGTGGTGGTGGTGGTGGTGGTGGTGGTGGCAATGGCGGCTATGGTGGTGGTTGCAATGGTGGAGGCTGTGGATATGGCTTCGATGAAGCTTTCCCTGCTCCCTATGGTGGTGATCAAGGCTACGGTGGCAACGGCCATGGAAAGGGTGGCGGTAAAGAAAATGGCCATGGAAAGGGTCATGGCAGTGGCAAGGGTGGTAGCAAAGGTGGCAAAGGTGGCAAACCCAATACTTACAAACCCAATGCTTACAAACCCAATGCTTACAAACCCAATACTTACAAACCCAATGCTTACAAACCAAACACTTATGCAAGCACTTACTGAGGCACCAGTTGAATTGTGGATGATTCTAACTTGTTTGTGTCACACTGTCCACTATCCATTTTTTCCACACACCTCTCAATTCAACTCACTGTAATATAGTCGTGTTTGAATTCGAGATGAATAAAACCTATTCATTCCAAATAGTGTTTTCCATGTACGCTTTGTATTGTGTAATGAACGGACGTTAGTTTTTGTGATATTTCGAGCTGTTGAGAGGTACGTGTTGTTAGTAGACAAGTGCGCGCCATGCCTCGCTGTTGTGACCTCATAGATATAGGAAAATGTACATATCAATTCACTGAACAATGCAGTTTGCATTAGTTTGTATTATCCCGTTGTTGGTATATTCGACTGTAATTTGACCAGTCTTGGTTGACACATAGACATCGTATGAGGATTGTCTGGATATAACCATTATGACACGAACTAATGTAGTATAGATGGAATGTGGCTAGTAGTGGAATCTAGGACACGCGTTTTGTTCTAGTTCGGACTCGTCGGTTGGGTGGAGGCAATCTGCAAAAGGTGAAATGAAAATACATTAGGTCCACGCTCAGCCTAAATTCCACTGTTAGCCACACTCCATCTATCCCATTTCACTCGATTGTCTAGATTGTTTATCAGCAGATGTGTTCATGGCAAATACGGTGAATGTAGCTGAATACCTAGTCGAACGCATGTCACTTTATAAGAGATACGTGGATGATATTAGAGTTATCTGTGAATGAAAGGACCACATAACATGTTTGTTGAATAAACTTGACGTTTATCAAAACTGCATCAATCTGTTATGGGAAGAGGAGAAGAGTGACCAACTTCCTTTCTTAGATATACTTATAAGTAGAAGAGAAGACAGTTCCGTCGAACGATACATTTTTAGAAAGCAAACTTGGACAGGACAATATCATATTTATTATAGTTACTGCCCAGTGCAATGCAAAAGGGTTATGATAGTGGGCCTATTTAACAGGATTAATTTTATTTGCACAAACGATGATACTGATTACGACGTTAGGTTGTTGAACAAAACACAAATGGAAAGCGGTTATCCGTTAAAATTCATAAATAGATAGGAAGGTGATGGTATAGTGAGGCCCACTACAGCCTTGGCACAAAACAGCCTGTCTACACAACCTTACTGTTCAAAGGTGATTCAAATAGCCTTTTACTAAAACAAGTGATAAATCAGTTGCTAACAAAACGTACTACATAGGAAAGGTCATTATCAGGGGAAAAACAAGGCCCATGTTTCACCAAAACCTAAAAGACATAAAGGCGATTGCGTCATATCACACTGTTTCTATCAATTTAAGTGCGCGCGTGTGTGCGTATGGCCACACATACACAGGGAGGAGTAACCATGATCTGCAAATTAGGGTATCCGAACATGTGCCTAGATGTTTGCGGAAACAAGTAAAATCAAATGATCGAATAAGAGTAGATGATAAAAATCCATCATCTTTTATTGCCTAACATGTAGTTGAAACAGGTCATAAGATTGATTTTAAAAAGTCTTTTATGGTGTTGTACAAAATGTGTTAAAGTGCGAATACTAGGGTTTATTGAATCCTCAGCCAAATGAAAATTCAAACCACTTTATGTATTCAAATTAAGTTTGTTCTCAACTTAAATCTTTCTTGGTAATATCAGCATATTATTCAGCGTGATGAGGTTTCAAATCGTTTTTTCATATTTATCTTATTATCTTTGGCTCCTCCTAACCTCCATTTGTCTAGTTGACATTTCTATTTTTATGTATAGATGTTTTGAAACAGTATACGTGTGATTAGGTTGTTTGAAATGTATTGCGCTAATATATCACATAATTCTGATAAACTGTGTCTTCTTATCACCCTATCCAAATTAAATCTTCCAGTTTATTAACACATCTCAATATATTTGATGAGGAATTTAGGCTGTAGGTGAAATTGGTGATTGAATATCTGTCATTTGTGGATTTCGAATATACATTGTTGACCTCACAGAACTACTCCATGACTAGATATTTTTTGCTGAACGTGTTCTCCATGTTGTGTGCACAATCACTCCACTGATTCAGTCCCAACGATGAATTCCACAATAAGAACACATTTGAACATCAATTTCACATATTTCACAGTGTTGCACATCAACGATCACTATTTGGTTAGGGATTGTCCACAAACACTTGCCTCATCGTTGTGATTTCATCCCCTACAAAGTGGTCACCGTCAACTGATGATGACAAATTTTCATACCAATCAAATATTTTCATCATTGTAAATAGGTTGCGTGTTGAAATAAAAATGGTCGAACAAATGGCCAAACGAGGACTGATGAACACCTTACTCGTATTGCTTGTAATTCGACACCCCCTTAGTCTGTTTTTTGCAAAGTTGCATCCATCTTCAATACTCAACTTGTTCGTAGTTCATCTCCTCCATGAACGACTGGACTGTCGATTTTTTAGTGTTAACGATCTACCTCATTGTGTTGCGGACAACAGATCCGCATATTCTCGTCAATCACATGGAGGAATTACTTTTCTCGTAGCTACTGACTATCGCGCAACTGAATTTATCTTCATTCGATCCCTAATGTGTGCATTGTTTCATAGATGAATTCTCATTTTCCAACCAGATCCATCACTGTTGTGGGAATTAGTCCCATAAAATTATCAAGTGACATAATAAAGTGGAATTAGAATGGGAAAACATTTTCAATAAGTTAATCATCAGGCTCTGAAATTTAAACTCCATAGTTATTGCACAACTGTGATCGATGTAATGTGTTTATGTGTCAATCGTGAATCCAATAGTGAGTTTCATGTGTCTGGATTGCATGCAAAATGTATCACTTGTGAAGTTGGAAATTCACCTAAGTATGTTAAATGTGTGAAGAGTGGTGTACTGTGATCAATTTAATAATACGATATTGAATAAGAGAAATGTTTTATGTCGAAATGATTGTGTCAATGTTGGATTGGTGTGTGGCTGTGGTATGCGTCAACCTTATAGTGGGCAAAGACAACTAAGTAGGCTGCACACAGCTCTTTTGAAAGCATAGGTTCGGCATTTTGAAGTCGGTGCAGACAGCTTCAGCTATGTAAGGGAGTAGTAATATTACTCCTTCCGGCAAACTATTCGGAGCTGGATGCAAAAACAGGAATGTTTCTTCTATTTCGATGCGATATTCACTATCTGCAAAGTGAGAGCGGGAGACTGTGTCAGCAAAGTGACATGAAACTTAACAGCGTCAAACCTCCATTCAGTCAATCTTCCACGTCGACTTGTCGATATGTCACCCACCATGTCTTCTCTACAGTCCGTTTGTTTTTTTCGTCGAATCGCTATCGACTATAATCACGACTACAGGAAGATTACGTACCAATTATTACGTTTAATCCCTTCGTAGAATATAAACTAAAATTCAATTGACTGTCGTAATATAATATATTTTTTGGCAATCTCTTGGTATCGAAATAATATCGAGATCGTGCCAAAGGAATACATGCGGGACTACTTTGCGTACGCGAATGCGTGCAAGTTCACAGGTAAACAGACAGGTTCCTTGATGCAATCACTGGTTCAACTAGTTATGATTATACTTGTTTCAATTATACCAATCGCGTTCTCTTGATAGAAGTATGTCACTACAGGAGCCCCTTGGTAAAAGGGGGCTACACTTTCGATACGCAGCGATTCTGTTTGTAGGACTGTAGGACGAAAGTTTTGGCCAACAGGAAATGATCGTTGATCCCTGAGTTGCCACCGAAGGTCTTTTACGTACAACGGTCCCAGGAGAAACGTGCTGTACTTGTTGCTATAGTTGGCGTAACACTCCAGAGTGGATTGTATCCACAATCTGAGGATTGCGTCCGTCCGCATGCGGGCCAGAATGCGCTGCAGACGTAGGACGGAACCACGTTGAGCCAGGAAACCAGAAGCGACCATAACAACCAAGTGCGAGACCAAACGTATGCCAGGCAGATTCTAGACTAGAATATCGACTGATTGCGTTGACAAATCTCGTCCGTAGATGGTGCAGATGACACGTGCTGTTGACCGAAATGTGAGAATGAGGTCTCTGACGTATCTTGTGTAGGATCTGAAGTAGATGTAGGGATCTCGCTAATACGTTTGATAGGTCTAGCAATGGGTCTCAAGTTATTGAGTAGGGCACTGTCATCGACGTGTGCTGGTTTGAGACGATCAATGATGAAGATCTCGATGCGGCCATGTTGACTAGTCTAGAAGGTCTTTTCGTGACGAGAAATCACGTGGAAATTTCCTTTGTAAGGCTGTTGCAGGGGTTTGCGTACCGAATCTACTCGTATGAAAACATGTGAACAGGTAGATAAATCTCAAGGGAGAGTGACCTGTCGCTGTTGTATATGAGTTGACACCGGAAGCAGTGTCCGCATAAATTCAGACATAGTCTGATTTACCGAAATCGTTACCGCTCCATGGTGTGAAAAGTTCACCAGGCAGACGCAATCTCGTGCCGTATACAAGTTCAGTGGCGGAACATTGAATATCTGCCTTTAAGCTCGTGCTAATGCCTAAAAACACGAGCGGTAAGGTTTCATACCAATTGTCGTTTTCGTGTGCTCGAAGAGCACTTTTAAGTTAGCTATGAAACCGTTCAACTAAACCATTTGATGCTGGGTGGTAGGCGGTAGTGCGTATGTGTTCCGTACCAAGCAGCCGGGTCAGCGAGGAGAATAATACGGACTCGAATTGTTGTCCACGGTCAGTCGTGACAGTCGAGGGACAACCGTACGGCGCTATCCATCGTTCTACGAAGCGGTGAGCAACTGTCTCCGCCGTGCTAGACGTGATGGGAATAGCTTCAGGCCATCTTGTAAAACGATCGATGCACGTGAGTATTTAATCATACCCGTGCGATGTTGGCAATGGTCCCACAATGTCTACATGGACGTGATCGAGGCGAGCATCAGGCGTAGCGAACGTGCCGATGTGGGGAGCTACGTGCCTGTTCACTTTTGATCGTTGACATCGTAAGCATTGCTTTAGCCACATGAGGACATGTTTATTCATGGACGGCTAGACGTATCGTGCGGCGATGAGGTGTAATGTGGCTGCGATACCTGGATGAGACAATCCATGTAGGGCATCGAAGACGGGACGACGGTAAGCAGAGGTTACAATGGGTGAGGTAAGACCAGTAGAAATACCACACGGGATAGTACCTGAGCTGGTAGCTAGGGGTACTTTAAGGCACTGAAAGGATGTAGGATGTTGTGCTTCTGCGCAGGAGGGATCGCTTGCTTGGGCTGCAGCCACGGCAGTAAGATCGAGCACCGGTGAAGTGACTGCATTCACCTGAATACGTGACAGAGCATCAGCAACGTAGTTCGACTCGCCTTTAATGTGACGAAGGTCTGTCGTGAACTGAGAGATATAGTCCAAATGTCTGCATTCTCGAGGTGAGTAACGGTCAGACTTGGTATGCATGGCGTACGTTAAATGCTTGTGGTCGGTTAATAAGATGAAATTGCGACTTTCTACAGAGTGCCGGAAATGTTTGATGGCACAGTAGGCTGCTAGCAGCTCTCGACTATAAGCGCTATATCTCGTCTCCGTGGGAGTAAGGCGTCGTGAGAAAAATTCAAGAGGTTGCCAACTACCGGAAACGTTCTGTTGAATAATGGCTCCTACGGCGAAATCCGCTGCATCAACCGCTATACTAAGCATGGCTGGTGGGTCAGAATGTGCGAAGAGTTTAACTTGAGCTAGATCCGTTTCGACCACTGAGAATGCAGTATTCGCGGTATCGTTCAATTCTAATTTGCGTGGATTACCGTGAAGTAAGTCGATTAATGGTCGTGACTGTTCTGCCGCGTGTGGGATAGAACGCCGGTAGAAGTTACCCAAACCAATCTTCGGAAAAATAGTCGTGTCCTTGAGTGATTCCGTGATGTCGTGTATGTGGGAGATGTGATGGCTATCGAAGCGTGTAGCTACATTTAATGCTCGTTAGTCGCCGCATGGTATCCAACTAACCCCATTCTTTTTGCGCGCCATGTAAAGAGGTGAGGCCCAGGAACTGTGATAAGGATGAATAATACCAGTAGCTAGTGAATCGTCAAACTCACGTTTAGCGAAAGCTAACTTGTCCGGTGCCAGTCGGCGTGGTCTTGCCATGACTGGGGTTACTGCCGCTATTTATCTCCGACTGGAAAGTTTTCTGCCTTTTATGAGCACAGGGCTCGACAACGGCTGGCACCGGACTCGAAGGCACGGTGAAACCATTAGTCTTGATTTTCCCCTGATAATGACCTTTCCTATGTAGTACGTTTTGTTAGCAACTGATTTATCACTTGTTTTAGTAAAAGGCTATTTGAATCACCTTTGAACAGTAAGGTTGTGTAGACAGGCTGTTTTGTGCCAAGGCTGTAGTGGGCCTCACTATACCATCACCTTCCTATCTATTTATGAATTTTAGCGGATAACCACTTTCCATTTGTGTTTTGTTCAACAACCTAACGTCGTCATCAGTGTCATCGTCTGTGCAAATAAGATTAATCCTGTTAAATAGGCCCACTATCATAACCCTTTTGCATTGCACTGGGCAGTAACTATAATAAATATGATATTGTCCTGTCCAAGTTGGCTTTCTAAAAATGTATCGTTCGACGGAACTGTCTTCTCTTCTACTTATAAGTATATCTAAGAAAGGAAGTTGGTCACTCTTCTCCTCTTCCCATAACAGATTGATGCAGTTTTGATAAACGTCAAGTTTATTCAACAAACATGTTATGTGGTCCTTTCATTCACAGATAACTCTAATATCATCCACGTATCTCTTATAAAGTGACATGCGTTCGACTAGGTATTCAGCTACATTCACCGTATTTGCCATGAACACATCTGCTGATAAACAATCTAGACAATCGAGTGAAATGGGATAGATGGAGTGTGGCTAACAGTGGAATTTAGGCTGAGCGTGGACCTAATGTATTTTCATTTCACCTTTTGCAGATTGCCTCCACCCAACCGACGAGTCCGAACTAGAACAAAACGCGTGTCCTAGATTCCACTACTAGCCACATTCCATCTATACTACATTAGTTCGTGTCATAATGGTTATATCCAGACAATCCTCATACGATGTCTATGTGTCAACCAAGACTGGTCAAATTACAGTCGAATATACCAACAACGGGATAATACAAACTAATGCAAACTGCATTGTTCAGTGAATTGATATGTACATTTTCCTATATCTATGAGGTCACAACAGCGAGGCATGGCGCGCACTTGTCTACTAACAACACGTACCTCTCAACAGCTCGAAATATCACAAAAACTAACGTCCGTTCATTACACAATACAAAGCGTACATGGAAAACACTATTTGGAATGAATAGGTTTTATTCATCTCGAATTCAAACACGACTATATTACAGTGAGTTGAATTGAGAGGTGTGTGGAAAAAATGGATAGTGGACAGTGTGACACAAACAAGTTAGAATCATCCACAATTCAACTGGTGCCTCAGTAAGTGCTTGCATAAGTGTTTGGTTTGTAAGCATTGGGTTTGTAAGTATTGGGTTTGTAAGCATTGGGTTTGTAAGCATTGGGTTTGTAAGTATTGGGTTTGCCACCTTTGCCACCTTTGCTACCACCCTTGCCACTGCCATGACCCTTTCCATGGCCATTTTCTTTACCGCCACCCTTTCCATGGCCGTTGCCACCGTAGCCTTGATCACCACCATAGGGAGCAGGGAAAGCTTCATCGAAGCCATATCCACAGCCTCCACCATTGCAACCACCACCATAGCCGCCATTGCCGCCACCACCACCACCACCACCGCCACCACCGTAACCACCACAATCGTCACCATTGCAACCACCACCATAGCCGCCGCCACCCTCATAGCCACCACCACCGCCACCACCACCATATCCGCCACCCTCATAGCCACCACCACCACCGCCACCGCCATTTCCGCCACCCTCATAGCCACCACCACCACCACCACCACCACCATATCCGCCACCACCATACCCACCATCTCCATAACCGCCACCACAATCACTACCGTAGCAATCACCACCGTAATCATTCGGACTTTCATGTGGTATTTGGTAGGCGGTGGCGTAACCAATGGCTACTAAGAAGACGAGTGTGAGCGACGATCTCATTTTTCCAACTGTCTGTGTTGTTGTATTCGGTGTGATGATATGTAAACTAGTGTGATTTGTCATTTATATATTGTTTTTGATTATGGATTGGAAGAGTTGTGCCTCTCTAAGTGCATCATTATTCAATACATATTACGCTTGTGCACTCTACTGTTGAACTGTCTTTTGTGTAATCGTTAATGATAGTTGAGCGTGATAGTTAAAAATATCGATGAAACAGTTAGTTCACAAATTACTCACTATTTTAATTCCACCGTTGGAATTCGTTAGCATGCGTTTTATCGGAACCGTTGATTAAGTCTTCACTGAATGAGACCAAACTCTTTTTGATGACACTGAAAAGTGATGTATTTCTGGACACACAAATTTTAAATAAACAAGTTAAAGAAAATTTTATTTAAACTTAACTTGTTGACCTCATGGACGATGTTGTAACGACCTTAAATAAGGGATTTCTGGCAGTCAACAGACCATTCTTCATATTGTCATATTTCATACATGATAATATCAATTAATACAGTAAACCAGATACTAGTAATAAAAATACTTCGTTTGTTCAGGCTATATTCTCTCAGGAAAGTGTCATATGTCAGTAATTTAGGGACAACAAGGTACAATCATCATTGGATGACCATAAGACAAGCCAGTTTCTCTTTCAGATTTAAACTAATTATTAGTATTTGCTTAACATAGTTTATCCTCATTGTTGAGACACGTAGAGTTTAGTTCGATAGTATGAGTGCCACCTGAATACTTTCAACGTTCATCTTACTCGAAACCGCAAAAGTGAATTGAACACTTTTAACCAACCCCATTTTCTCTCACTCATAATTTGTTTTTACATGAATGAGATGACGTTGTTCAGTGGTGGATTCCCGTGTTCCAGTGTTATGCAGAACTGTCTCAATTCTCATAATTGGTTCATTGTGTTAGTAGCTTAAACCTGAATAGATACACACTCACGTATTGTTGATTGTGAATTGTGGAAGTGTTTGCAGATCAAGTTGGAATTGTCTGTAATGGCGTATGAACAGAAGAATCTCATACGACAAGTCAAAGAGCAAATGAATTCCCCATATCAATCACTCACTACCTTTTCAATGAACATGAGCAATATACGAAATCTTCCACTTGAGTTAGTCAGAGCAAACATGAAACGTTTGAATATCGATTGTGACAATGTTGCTCTCATAATGCCCATTCGTGCTTCCATTTCTATTCGTGTGTGAGATGAGCTGTTCGGTAGGTTGATTTTCTTGTAGTGCTTAATTCCAATGTGGACAATAGTAAGCACCATATACATAGATTGTGGTTAATCAACTCTACTTTCTAAATCAACTCTGGTTGTCGGTGGCAGTATATATGATCATTCCAATGATCGATTTCGTTGCACTCAATTCAACTGTACCTGACAGGTCAGTTCATGAGTTTATCTATGATTGCCTGCCAGGACTGGTGAAAGATTTAATCTTCACACTATACTACTCAATAATACTGAACCTTTGCATTTGACTCAAACAGATTTCGTTTGAGATGTGTCGATTAAAATTCTACTGTTTTCAGAAGGTGACATCAAACAACGACATAAAGTTCCAGTCAGTTAACAGTATCCAACTCTGTTGAGCTATCCGGTTTTATGTACGAGACCTGATTGAGGAAGGCAGTAAGATTGTGAAGTGTTCCCATTATTGTTTAACATACATATCTAATCTTTTGTGATTTCATTTTTATTCGTTGTACAGATGCTCTGTCGATATAGCGATCCATGAAGATAGATCAGCTGATGCAAGAAAATAATCTACCATCTGGACTCCAGTTGATTGGCAAATGAATCTGAAAATAGTACTAACTGTTTGAAAATCAGACTCCATATATGATGAGGTATTAGAGAAAATGAGTGATTATGTATTAGTGTGGAGTATGCGAATATTATTTGGATACCAAGTTGTATTGTTTGGGTTAAAACTAGGTGGTTGAATATGTTGTTGTGTCTCATTCGATTGTGTACAACAAACAGAGTCTAATCTACTACTTTTATTCACGTAAACGTACAAGGCAATCTCCAAATGAGATGTGATGTTAGCTCAAACACATCACTAATATTTCACATCGTAGATGCACGACATTAATTGGTGCATAAAAGCCTCAAAAATTGTCAACAGATAGGAAATATCAAGACTACTTCATTTTCATACGTCAACTCATCCTGATAATTTTGAAGAAGACAAACAAAAATGAATATTTCATTTTATCTAAGCCATCATCGTCCACATGGGACTGATTGGAAATATCTTCTATTGTGGAATGAAATGTTTATGGATGGATCGTTGACTGCCTTCAGTTAGACAACGGTAACTAATCTAGAAGCACTAAAAATCTGTTACAGCTTAGTAAGGAGCTCGTTAACAGTGTGCACACATCACCATGACAACGATAGAAACCCTCATCTTCGTGTTGACATGGTGAATGGATCACCTTAGATGCACTGAGTTGCAATCGAACATTGTGTGATCAAATTGAATGAGATATTAGTTAGTTTGTGTACCACATGGTGAGTCATGCAGTTCTACGAATATTACTCCACTCCTCTTCTCATATATCTACTCACAATACGCATTCATGCTTCTGTATCGAAAAATGTAAAGGGTAGACTAGTTTGAGAAGTTCCACTAATGTGAATGTGGAAATATTGGAGTGAATAATGTGGATTTTTTCTCGTTGTGGATTTTCATGTTCGGATAACCGGCTTATCATTCTGTGTTAAAGTTTCGAAACGTTCAGTACGTCCAATTGGGGTAGTTGTGTTCGGTTCGATTTACATTGGATTAGTATAGTTTCCTGAATATCCTACTTTCCAGAAGGGTGGACGAGTATCTACAAGGCAATATTTTCTCGATACACTCATACTGATCAACATCGTTCATTCTCATGGCTTCTCACGTCTTCATTACACAATGAATCGTGCTCAGTGTATCAGACACAAAACTAGAGAGTTATGCTCTGACGATAGTGTAGAATGATGAACACGTAAACTAACGAACTCACCACTGAACAACCGTTATCCAAACTGATTCGTCGACGGTTATTTCTCCGAATCGAGAAATGAGAGAAATGTCGACGCTGTCAGTCAGAAAACACTCTTCCTAAGACCTGATTGTAGGGAGGACATGGTGGGTGACATATCGACAAGTCGACGTGGAAGATTGACTGAATGGAGGTTTGACGCTGTTAAGTTTCATGTCACTTTGCTGACACAGTCTCCCGCTCTCACTTTGCAGATAGTGAATATCGCATCGAAATAGAAGAAACATTCCTGTTTTTGCATCCAGCTCCGAATAGTTTGCCGGAAGGAGTAATATTACTACTCCCTTACATAGCTGAAGCTGTCTGCACCGACTTCAAAATGCCGAACCTATGCTTTCAAAAGAGCTGTGTGCAGCCTACTTAGTTGTCTTTGCCCACTATAAGGTTGACGCATACCACAGCCACACACCAATCCAACATTGACACAATCATTTCGACATAAAACATTTCTCTTATTCAATATCGTATTATTAAATTGATCACAGTACACCACTCTTCACACATTTAACATACTTAGGTGAATTTCCAACTTCACAAGTGATACATTTTGCATGCAATCCAGACACATGAAACTCACTATTGGATTCACGATTGACACATAAACACATTACATCGATCACAGTTGTGCAATAACTATGGAGTTTAAATTTCAGAGCCTGATGATTAACTTATTGAAAATGTTTTCCCATTCTAATTCCACTTTATTATGTCACTTGATAATTTTATGGGACTAATTCCCACAACAGTGATGGATCTGGTTGGAAAATGAGAATTCATCTATGAAACAATGCACACATTAGGGATCGAATGAAGATAAATTCAGTTGCGCGATAGTCAGTAGCTACGAGAAAAGTAATTCCTCCATGTGATTGACGAGAATATGCGGATCTGTTGTCCGCAACACAATGAGGTAGATCGTTAACACTAAAAAATCGACAGTCCAGTCGTTCATGGAGGAGATGAACTACGAACAAGTTGAGTATTGAAGATGGATGCAACTTTGCAAAAAACAGACTAAGGGGGTGTCGAATTACAAGCAATACGAGTAAGGTGTTCATCAGTCCTCGTTTGGCCATTTGTTCGACCATTTTTATTTCAACACGCAACCTATTTACAATGATGAAAATATTTGATTGGTATGAAAATTTGTCATCATCAGTTGACGGTGACCACTTTGTAGGGGATGAAATCACAACGATGAGGCAAGTGTTTGTGGACAATCCCTAACCAAATAGTGATCGTTGATGTGCAACACTGTGAAATATGTGAAATTGATGTTCAAATGTGTTCTTATTGTGGAATTCATCGTTGGGACTGAATCAGTGGAGTGATTGTGCACACAACATGGAGAACACGTTCAGCAAGAAAATATCTAGTCATGGAGTAGTTCTGTGAGGTCAACAATGTATATTCGAAATCCACAAATGACAGATATTCAATCACCAATTTCACCTACAGCCTAAATTCCTCATCAAATATATTGAGATGTGTTAATAAACTGGAAGATTTAATTTGGATAGGGTGATAAGAAGACACAGTTTATCAGAATTATGTGATATATTAGCGCAATACATTTCAAACAACCTAATCACACGTATACTGTTTCAAAACATCTATACATAAAAATAGAAATGTCAACTAGACAAATGGAGGTTAGGAGGAGCCAAAGATAATAAGATAAATATGAAAAAACGATTTGAAACCTCATCACGCTGAATAATATGCTGATATTACCAAGAAAGATTTAAGTTGAGAACAAACTTAATTTGAATACATAAAGTGGTTTGGATTTTCATTTGGCTGAGGCTTCAATAAATTCTAGTATACGCCCTTTAACACATTTTGTACAACACCACAAAAGACTTTTTAAAATCAATCTTATTACCTGTTTCAACTACATGTTAGGCAATAAAAGATGATGGATGTTTATCATCTACTCTTATTCGATCATTTGATTTTACTTGTTTCCGCAAACATCT